GGTGAGCACTGTGAATTGTGTGAGACTGTTGAATCACAGACCTGTACCTCTGAAACAAATAATACATTATATGTTAAAAAAAAAAAAAAAAGAAGACGATAGTAGGAAGGGAAAAATGAAGGGGGGGAATCGGAGGAGGAGACAAACCATGAGACACTATGGACTCCTAGAAACAAACTGAGGGTTCTAGAGGTGAGGGGGGTGTGAGGATGGGTTAGCCTGGTGATGGGTATTAAAGAGGGCACATATTGAATGGAGCACTGGGTGTTATACGCAAACAATGAATCATGGAACACTACATCAAAAACTAATGATGTAATGTATGGTGATTAACATAATAAAATAAAAAAATGAAAAAAAATGATGTACTCTATTATCAACTTTCAAATAGGCAATACAGTATTATTAACTATAGTCACCATGCTGTACATTACATCTCCATGACTTAATTATTTTATAACTGGAAGTTTGTGCCTTTTGCCCCCCTTTGTTCATTTCTTCCACCCCTTACCCTACCTTTGGCAACCACTGTTCTCTATCTCCATGAGCTTGGTTTGTTGTTATTTTTAAAATTCCATATATAAGTGAAATCATACAGTATATGTCTTTCTCTGAGTTGTTTCACTTAGCATATGCCCTTAAGGTCCATCCATTTCACAAATGGTGAGATTGCTTTCGTTTTATGGCTAAGTAGTATTCCATTGTGTGTGTGTGTGTGTGTGTGTGTTTATATCTTTACTCATTCATCTGCTGAAGGACACTAAGGTTGTTTCCATGTCTTGGCTATTGAAAATAATGAACATGGGGGTGCATATATCTTTCCAAAATAGTTTTTGTTTTCTTCAGATAAATACCCAGAAGTGAAATTGCTGGATCATATGGTAGTTCTATATGTAATTTTTTGAGGAAACTCCATACTGTTTTTCATTGTGGCTGCACCAATTTACATTCCCACCAAAACTTTTTTCCACACCCTCTCCAACAGTTGTTATTTATTGTCCTTTTGATAACAGCCATTCTGACAGGTGTGAGGTGAGGTCTTGTGGTTTTCATTTGCATTTCCCTGATGATTAGTGACAGTGAGCACCTTTTCATGACATGCTGACAATCTGTATGTCTTCTTTGGAAAAATGCCTATTCAGATCTGCCCACTTTTTAATCAGATTGCTTGCTTTTTTGCTACTCAGTTGTATGCATTCTTTATGTATTTGGATATTAAACCCTTCGTAGGTCTATGGCTTGCAAATATTTTTTCTCATTCAGTAGGTTGCCTTTTCATTTGGTTGATGATGTCCTTTGCTGTGTAGAAGCTTTTTAGTTTGATATAATCCCACTTGGTTATTTTCTCTTTTGTTGTCTTTGCTTTGGAGTCATATCTAAAAACACATCATCAAGACCTACATCAAGGGCCTTAATGCCTATGTTTTCTTCTAGAAGTTTTATGGTTTCAGGTCTTATATTCAAGTCTTTAAACCATTTTGAGTTAAGTTTCATCTATAATGTAAGATAGTAGTCTAGTTTTATTCTTTTGCATGTGGCTATTCAGTTTTCTCGGCACCATTTATTGAAGAGACTGTTTTTCCCTGTTGTAAATTTTTGCCTTATTTGTTGTAAATTAATTAACCGTATATGTATGGATTTATTTCTGGGCTCTCTAATCTGCTCTATGGATCTATGTGTCTTCTTTTATGACAATAGCATACTATTTTGATTATTATAGCTTTGTAATATAATTGGAAATCAAGGTGCATGATGCCTCCAGCTTTGTGCTTTTTCCTCAATATTACTTTGGATATTCTGGGTCTTTCATGATTCCATAAATTTTAGGATTGTTCTAATCCAATGAAAAGTGCCTTTGGAGTTTTGATAGGGATTGTATCGAATCTGCAGATTGCTTTGGGTAGTATGGCCATTTTAATGATAATCATTCTACCACTCCATGAATGTGAATTATCTTTCCATTTATTTGTGTCTTCAATTTCTTTCATCAGTGTCTTGTAGTTTCAGTGTACAGGTCTTTCACCTCTTAGTTAAATTTATTCCTAGGTATTTTATTCTTTTGATGCAATTGTAACTGGGATGGTTTTCTTAAATTCTCTTTCTGATATCTCATTATTCATGTATAGAAATGCAACAGATTTTTGTGTGTTGAGTTTGTACCCTGAAACTTTACTGAATTCATTCATTAGTTCTAACAGCTAACCTATGATACTTGGTTTCATACCAGGCATGATATTGACATTAAAAAATTACAAGATAGTTTCAGCTCTTTGTTGTTTACAAGGACATGATCAAGATCATGATATGTGGGGGTGCCTGGGTGGCTCAGTCAGTTAAGCATCTGCCTTTGGCTCAGGTCATGATCCTAGGGTCCTGAGGTCAAGCCCCACATCTGGCTCTCTGCTCAGCGGGAGCCTGTTTCTCCCTCTCCTCCCCGTTCATGCTCTCTTTGCACTATCTCTGTCTGTCTCAGCCAAATAAATAAAATATTTTTTAAAAAAGATAATGAGGGGTGCCTGGGTGGCTCAGTCGTTAAGCGTCTGCCTTCAGCTGAGGTCGTGATCCCAGGGTCCTGGGATCGAGCCCCGCATCGGGCTCCCTGCTTGGCAGGAAGCCTGCTTCTCCCTTTCCCTCTCCCCCTGCTTGTGTTCCTTCTCTCACTATCGATCTCTGTCAAATAAATAAATAAAATCTTTAAAAATAAATAAATAAAAAAGATAATGATTTGTGGTATTAGGATGACAGTGTGGAATCTACTACCTTTACGCATCTTAGAAAGGATTACTGGGGTTGTAATTAGAGGGAGAATATGAGAACAAATGAGTCAACTCATATTTTAGCAGAAATGTTAAAATGTAAAAAAAAAAATCTCAAATATGCAATGATAGTCTATATATAGTATGGAATTTTACTTGAGAAATATTCTTTGTTAAATAAAAATGCTTGTTCACCAAAGCCAAGGTCTGGAAGTTTTGCAGGGAAGGAGTACCAATCTCCAATTCCTCCACATTACAGGAGAGGCTGAAAAGCCTATATGGATATGGCAAGATTCACTTTGTGATCCTCGTATCACTTTCTTTCTTAGAAAGTGTGGTGCTTCAGCTCCCTTTAGCATTAAATCTGTTTAATAGAAGACTGCATTCCGGGTGTTAGATATGACAATTTTTAGAAGTCTTTCCCAAGAAAAATGTATTGCTTTACAAACAGTTATGGTAATAATTTTTAAATATCACTGCTATTGTAATTGGGAGTATAAAACAAGTATGGTTAAAATTTACCAGCAATGGCTACAAAAATCATGTATTTGAGATTACATTTGGAATGTGCTTTCCTCATACTTTGTGTCCAGATTCAGATCTCCAGTCCAGTGCAAATGGAAGATCTCAGGGTAATGAGGTCCAAAAATTCCATGTAGAAATCAAAAGAGTCTAGAGACTTCCTGCCTAAATCTTAAAATGACACAGAAGAACACGATTCTTTGAACACAGATACTAAGGACTACTGGTTTAAAGAATGGGAGTTCTCCTCACATTTCATGCCTTTAAAAACAAATGACTTTCAAATTGTCCAGCCCAGGCCACACATGTGTACTCCAAATTCGTATTTCTAACTATCTACTCAACCTCTCCACTTGAATATCTCATAGGCACTTTTAACATCATCTTTCCCTCCACATACCTGCTCCTCCCCTAGTCTTCTCTTTCTCAGGAAATTACATCTACATATGATCAGTTCTGAGAACTTGGTTCATTCTTGAGTCCTCTATTTCTCTAACATCTTACATGTAATACATCAGCACATTCTCTGAGCTCTATCCCAAATCAGACCCTATGCCACCTCCACCTCTATCATTCCTGTGTGAGCCACCATTATATCTCACCTGGAACGCACAGTACTCTAATTGCCTTGCAACTTCTATCTCCTCTGCCCCCATCCACTGCCTACCCCAGGGCTGCAATCCCAGCCAACCCCAACCAGATGAGCTTTTCAAACCAAAAGTCAAATAATATCATTCATGTGCTCAAAGGCCCTCAGTAGTTTTCCATTTCACGCTAAATAAAAGCCTTCAATGACTTACCAAGTCCTATGTCATATGGCATTCTGACCTCACTTCTTCCTACCCTTCCTTTTTCTCATTCCATGATAGCCCCATTAGTCTTAGTGCTGTTTCTTGAACAATCTTGACACACTCCAGCTTTAAGAGTTTCTGGTCCTTCTTTCTGGTATGCTCTTCTCCCAGATAATGCCTTGGTGTCATTCCTCATCACACTCAAGTCCTTGTTCAAATATCACACCCTCAGTAGGACCTCCCCTGACCGACCCATAGCTCTGATCTTGGCTGACCCTAAATTCTGCATATTCTTTGTTCTATAATCAATGTCACTACTGCTGGCTCGTTCCAACTTCACGCAATCTGGCTCAGAGTTTCTCATCTAAGTCTTTGCTGGGATAAATGGCATTCAGCCTCAGACTGCCTGACTCTCTCAATCTGACCAGCAACCATGCACTCCCCATTCTAAGAGGTAAATGCATGTCATCAAGGTTCTGAAAGCAACTCAGCGTACCCATTTTGGAGCAATGTTCCTGTCGCCTGAACTAGGTCAAACATCTGATTATAGGAGAATTAAATGGCACAGGGAAACCCTAGGAAGGTGAGATTTAATGATATACAGAAGCATATAAAAAAATCAGGTAATGTGAAAAACGTTAAATGATGCTTGAAATATTTGCTGGGTCACAGTGGGGAATTGTGTTGCTAGAGGAACTTTAAGAGGAGAAACAGATGTTTCCAAAGTACTGTATTCTCACATATCTGGGAGAATCTCAAGTTATAAAGCGTAGCCATTTACTTCATTCAATGACTATACAAGATGCTAAACATAGCTACTACTTCTAGCGCCATTTTAAAAGAATATGGCAACAGAATTTTTTCTAATGATGTGGACACTGTTCGACTGGCGACATCAGTTTTGACTTTCAGCTGAATGTTTCGTACTCACCGCTTCCCAGTTGGGTAGAACCTAGAGCAAGAATGGCCATCCCATGCACAGTAAGGGTCCCTTGCCAGGCAGCAGTCAGCACAGGCTGTACCGTAGATGTGGCAGCGATGCAGAGACACTTGGGAAATCCCTTCATTGGAGCTCACATACAACTGTTGCTATTGGAGGAATGATTATGATTCATTTCAGATGGGGACATTAAAAGAGAACTTTCAGCAGGAACACATTATAATATATGTCTACACACCCTGAGATTCATTTTAAAATAGACTAAAAACAAGAAGCAAAGCACAGAGGGTATAAAGCCAAAATAAATAGAATTTTCTTACATTAATATGCCTATAATATTACCACTTTCCTGTTTAAAAAAAAAAGCTCACAGCCCTACGTAGAATGGTCATACATTTGAGACATTGGGATTTATTGTTCTCTCAGATTTGTGCTAATATATTACAGATTTAAATTACGATGTTTGCTTTATTTTTTGAATGCACAAGGCAGCTTTCTTTTTCTTCAAATCTGGCAACCCATCATCTTGTAAATTTGAAAACTCCAAGTCTTAAATAAAGGGCATTTTTAAGTTTAGGGGAAAAAAGTACAGGCGCCTGGGTGGCTCAGTTGGTTAAGCGACTGCCTTCGGCCCAGGTCATGATCCTGGAGTCCCAGGATCGAGTCCCGCATCGGGCTCCCTGCTCGGGGGGGAGTCTCCTTCTCCCTCTGACCCTCCCCCCTGTCATGTGCTCTCTGTCTCTCTCATTCTCTCTCTCAAATAAATAAATAAAATCTTTAAAAAAAAGTACACTGTCAGTATTAGATAAAATTAAAAAAAAAAACATTTTTCACATGCCTTCACTCATTAGAACAATTAGAACAATTTTTAAATTACTTAGAAGAATATCAGTATTTATATTCAGGCATGTCTTAAACTTTCTGTATGCTCCAGTGATCTTCAGCATCCTAAGTCATAAATAAAGATTTCACTCTCCTTCATTTGCAGGATGTCAAGAACTTCTGATGATACTGCTCCAATTCTTTTATTTGTGCATAAATTGGTTCTCAGGAGTCGAAAGGGTAGGTTTCTAACTGATGCTTATTTCTGAAGAAGTGATATTGTATAATTCAAATCAGCAGAGAATCTCTAAGCTGGAACTCAAATATATTCACATGTGCAACACACACAAAGACATCTATACATATTCAACTACATACAATTTAAAACTTAAATATAGGAGCACCATTGGTCCATCAGGCTCTGGAGGCAGACATCTGGGATTCAAATCCCAGCTCAACCACAAATATGCTGTGTAACTTTTCTCAATCTCAGCTACCTCTTGGGTAAAACTGGGATAATATAGTACCTATCCTACAGAGTTATTTTAAGAACTGAATGTAAGGGCTAACTCCACATGAAATACTTAGGATAGTTTCTGACTCCTAAGCACTGAATGAATGTTCAATAATGTAGTAGAATAAATTACCAGCTAACAAACTATCACCTTATATACTGTTAATTCTAATTAATCATTTGAATCATACCTCAGTCTACTGTCTAATAAACAGTTATTTTATTCAGATTAATTTTTCAGAAATTCAGCTGAAAATGACTGACCCCCAGTTGAGGCAAACTATAAGAAAACAACTGCATATTTTGGCAATAATCATTTCTCCAGAACACTTCAAATAAGTGTTTGTTGATCACATTAATAAATAATATAGTGAATGCATCAGCTATGCTAAATAAAGGAAACCACTTTATTTAAGGAAAGAATACAAGTAGTTTCATTCTAGAAATTACCTTTTTTAAATTAACCCAACTATTTTCTGCTATATGGAATGCAAGAATAAATTAGAGAATAAAGAAGCCATAAAATAGAAAATAAAATAATTTGAAGACTAGGGAAGGTACTAAATTCATAGTATTTAAATGTACATCAAATACCATTGGTAATCTGTACTTCTTTCTCACTGAAAAAATAATGAGGTAGGCAGTTGTGCAAATGAGTTCCCCAAAACTCAAATAAGTACCCTGCCCTGAATCTAATGATTCAAAGAAACATTTTTAATTATCTACAATATAAGATGTTGAAGACAGATTTAATAGTCATTTTTTCCTGTGCGTATATGTGTATTGCATATTGCAATTTAATGGAATGCATTGTGAACTCTGAGTATACCAGCTGAATTACCAGTTGAAGCGTAACATGAATCACTAATTGTACACTAGACCGTGCCAGACAAATGGCTCTGCATCCATTTTGAATTTTGCTCCGATACTCTCTCTTCTCATTAAACTACTGTAAACAAGGGGCTTCCCTGCTGACTTCAAAGACAATTCTAACTTGGGATCAGCTCCCTGGGACATTGGGGAAAATGACGAATGGCTTCTTGTTACTTGGGAAAATGTTTGTTATGCACCATACAAACATTTTTACAGATGAGATCTTTAGCTCTATCGTACCCTATTTATTTTTCTTCATAAAATTGAGTCAAGTGAAAAGAGCACAGGACTGACTGTGGAATACTTCTTCATCTGCAACAGACCAAATAAGGCAAAGAACACGAACCTTATGTCATCAGTTGTGCTAACACTTAAAACCTTCATTCCATATTCCAAGAAAAAGAAGTCTCAGGCTCTTTAAACAGCAGTTACCAAGGACCTGCTTTATTTTAGGCAATTTATATAAATTAACTCATTTGTGAGAAAAGCATTACCTTGTAGAGGCAGAAACTTAAGTCAGTGAAGTTTAACGACTTATCCACAATTTATGGACAAGTTGGGATTCAAATGCATGTCCATCCTGCTCTGAAGCCTACTCCATTTCTGACTATATGACTCCATCCTTTAGAACTTTCTTCCAGAGAGAACACCTCGGGGGCTGGAGAGGTGTATGTGCTGCACAGGTAGAGACTGGAATAGGGCTTTTCCTTTTTTGTGATCATTGTGTATTCGCATGTGCAGGCACAAATTAGAAGATGAAACATTTCTGATAATCATAGTCAAAGATTTCTTCCCTCAAACCTGAATCCTTATATGGCTTAGATTTGAGGCATTCAGATTTTTTTTAAAGACATGTATAAACTCTAAAAAACAGCACTTCCTTAGCAATAAGCATAAAAGAATGCATTGCACATTTCAAACATGTGATAGCAGCAGGAACTCGGAAGAGGACTGATTACTCATTCCAAGCCCCTGAGAATGTTTGTGATGCTATGGTAGCCCAAACATTATACTGAATTCTTCATTCAAACGATTATTTTTATTTTGGTTGGCTTCACACACTGTAACATTTGAGAACATAGGATGTACAAAATGTTGGAATATCTTGCTGTATATATTTATATGTTCTGCTCTCCTGGGTTTTTATACAAAACAGACCTATTTTGTCTTCCATTAAAAGCTTTTCAATTATGCATCAAAATTAAAGGTGCTTTTGTGGTTACTGTAAATAATAATTATTTTTCTAATACTAAAATTAATTTTTCCAAAATTACAAAATATTTCTTCCTAACAGTAAAATTTGTAAAATGTAAAGAAAATAAAATGGGGTTGTTTTACCTTTTTGGATGAAATTTTCATTGTTGTTATAGGAGCACGATTCTGAAAAATTAAAAAACAAACAAACATCGTTAGCTGTTCAAATAATCCTTTAAAAAGATTTGCATTAGAAATAGTCTCTTGTTTGTTAAAATTCAAGAAATCATCATTTCTCTATATATGCGCATATATTCAAAGTTTAGCAATACTTGTCCCTAAAGTACATTTCCTCTGTTGGGAGTAAGGTGTTTTACAAATATAGGCTTAAGTTAAAAAAAAAAAAAAAGTAGCATTTACAACACATTATCAATATAGTCTTTAGAAAAACAAAATCTGAGTAATTTGGAAGAATTAAAAAAATTATATCTTGGCATACTGAATCCAATGAATAAAACTTAGGCTTGGATGGCGGTGGGTAAGATGCTGAGGCATGGTACCCCATGTTATTCCTTCACAACACAAGCAGTCTGCATAAGACGCTACCGTGCATCAGATGTAGCTTTGCAAAGATGTATTAGCCTGCATCATACTTATTAACTCTCCCATTGCAAACGAAGAAATACTGTTAGAAAATGTCCTCTTTTGGGGCGCCTGGGTGGCTCAGTCATTAAGCGTCTGCCTTCGGTTCAGGTCATGATCCCAGGGTTCTGGGATCGAGCCCCGCATCGGGCTCCCTGCTCCGCGGGAAGCCTGCTTCTCCCTCTCCCACTCCCCCTGCTTGTGTTCCCTCTCTCGCTGTGTCTCTCTCTGTCAAATAAATAAAAATCTTAAAAAAAAAGAAAAAAGAAAATGTCCCCGTTTGATAAATGTGAATTAGTGAAAGCACCTAAGAATTTTCTGAAATAGTAATCCTTTTTTGAAAGTTACTCTATTCATAAACTTTCCTTCTTAAACATTATTAGTTCCTTTTAAAAATTAGACTTGTGATAACCTGATAAATATCTGTGAAGTTTTATTTCAATAACTCAAGTGAGAGCAAGCTCTCAAAATTAACTGTACCTACAATTATTTCACATTCTGGAAGTGTGTTTTCTTACACACGTTTAAAAGAGAAAATGGTGATATTATCTAAACATTCAATCTAAACAGTCAGTTGCAACAGATTTTGATCACTGCTTAGAAATACACATACACATACAAAAATGTATTGTGATTTATATCCACCCAGGCAACTACTAATAGCTATACTCCAATTAAGTTAAGTTTGAGGAAGCTGGCTGTATTTTCAGGAAATATTCTGAACAGAGGATTAAAAGAAGAGATTATGGTTCTGCACTCTACAGAAACAAAGTGTCTGGTTTTTTAAAGTTACATTGAGTTTTCTGCGATATATCAGTGTGACACTTCACTAAGGAATTTGTTTCAATTCAAATGCATTATTTCCTCACGTGCTAATCACAGTGTATCATACACACCCAGTTATTTTTACCTCACCTCAGAAAATATGACACAAACACCATGTTGAAGACAGTAAGGAACTGTATTTGGCAACTGTGTCTCTCAATTTAGCCGTATCAGTCATGGGCACACACATCCACAAGAAAGTTCAAACGTTTTTAGTCTCTCTCTTGGACTGATGTCCCCCACATGCATTTTGACTGACTCTATTTTTCCACTGAGAGTTTATTCTTCATGATGATAACATTAGCACAACTCATATAACAGACCATAAGTAGCTAGCACATGATCAGAATGACTCACATTTCTTTAAGAGCTTTCCATTAACTTACATGTTTGGGTTTGTGTCAAACTCAGTGTTTTCTGATTATCAAAAAATGACATTTCAGAATTAAAAATGAAGTTCTGCCATATGGCATTTTTGCTCTCTTCAAGCAAATTCCAGAACAAGCTACTCTATGTCATTTTGGTCAGCCATGTTGTCTGTATTGAATTGAACAAGGAAAAAATATTTTTTACATATAATGCAATTTTGGTTAATCTAGTGAAACAACCAATTCCTTTATAAAGCAAGACATAGAAAAAAGCACTTGAATGTACATAGTTAACATTTTGTAAGCACAATATTAACACGCCAATCACAAAGAAACTTATTCCAAAGTGAGTCTAGCATTAAAAATTGTAAATTCAATAACACACTGGAAAATTTTCCGGAGTTCCAGAGCCAGCTTCTTCAAACTTAACTTGAATTGGAGTGCAGCTATTAGTAGTTGCCTGGGTGGAAATAAATCACAATACATTTTTGTATGTGTATGTGTATTTCTAAGCAGTGATCAAAATCTGTTGCAACTGTTTAGATTGAATGTTTAGATAATACCACTTTTTTTTAGATTGAATGTTTAGATAATATCACAAAAAAAGTTCCGGAGTTCCTCAAAATTTTCCTCAGATTTCATTTGGTTATTTTTTAACAAATATTTCTTTACATTTAAAACGTATTAGCATAATCTAAACAATGCATCTTGATCACTTATGTGCTTATAAATTCAATAATTTTGGTGACTGTGGGAACATGTATTAATAAGTCAATATATTCTGAGTCCGCTCAACTAAGCAAAGCAATGGACTAAACCAGCAATAGTCTGCTCCTGAGAGTCCTGAGTGCTAATTTTACTCACTTAAAGGCTGACTCTGGAAATAAGTCAAACAGATAAAGACATGTATCATATGATCTCACTGATATGAGGAATTCTTAATTGCAGGAAACAAACTGAGTGTTGTCGGAGTGGGGGGTGGGGTGGGAGGAATGGGGTGACTGGGTGATAGACACTGGGGAGGGTATGTGCTCTGGTAAGCGCTGTGAATTGTGCAAGACTGTTGAATCTCAGATCTGTACCTCTGAAACAAATAATGCAATATATGTTAAGAAAAAAAAAAAGAAGAAGAAGAAGAAGGTAGTGGGAGGGGAAGAATGAAGCGGGGGAAATCGGAGGGGTAGACAAACCATGAGAGATGATAGACTCTGAAAAACAAACTGAGGGTTCTAGAGGGGAGGGGGGTGGGAGGATGGGTTAGCCTGGTGGTGGGTATTGAGGAGGGCACATTCTGCATGGAGCACTGGGTGTTGTGCACAAACAATGAATCATGGAACACTTCATCTAAAACTAATGATGTAATGTATGGGGATTAACATAAGAATAAAAAAAAAATAAAGGCTGACTCTGGTCTTTTGATGTCCATGGACCGTTTGTTTGTTTTGGTTTGTTGTTGTTGTTTAGTTTTATTTCATCATCATAAACTTAACTCTGCAATCCAGCTAGACTTGGAGGGGAGTAAGGAAAATATGAACCCATAGAACTGCAGCGAGCACACAAAGATTATAGGATATTTCGAGCAGATGGGGGAGAAGGGGTGCTCTCCTAAGCTACAGAAGGAATGGGCTAGTAGTTAAAACAGAATTCAAATTTATTAGATTTGCCCACAGTCGGCAGTGGTGATCTTCTTGCTGGTCTTGCCATTCCTGGACCCAAAGAGCTCCATCCACAATATTCCTGCCCTCCCTCACCTTGCCAAAGACCACATGCTTGCCATCCAACCACTCAGTCTTGGCAGTGCCGATGAAAAACTGGAAACCGTTTGTGTTGGGTCCAGCGTTTGCCATAGACAAGGCCAGGACCCATGGGCTTCAGATGAAATTCTCATCATCAGATTTCTCCCCATCGATGGACTTGTGGCCAGTGCCATGATGGTGCGTGAAGTCACCACCCTGGCCCAGAAATCCTGGAATAATCACGTAAAAGCAGGGATCTTTATAACTAAATCCTTTCTCCCCAGTGCTCAGAGCACAAAAGTTCTCTGCTGTCTTTGGAACTCTGAAAGCAGCTTGAAGGAGACGCAGCCCAAGAGCTCGCAGTCCAAGGTGATGTCAAAGAACCTGGTGGGGTTGACCGAGGGTGGGCAGCCCTGGTGACTCCAAGGCGGCAGCATCCGCCCATGGGCCGTTTCTTCTTGATTGATGTAGTTGCAAATAGTAGTCTGCAATAGGACTGATTCCATGCCAAAGTATCTTTGCAATCCTAACAGCTCCTCTGGCTGTGGTTTATCCATCTTTCCAAATGTTTATCAGAGAAATCATTTGAACTACAGTGGCTTACATTTTAAGAAGGGAAGGGACACCACAGATCTGCTCTCCCGGGTCACAGATCCAGAAAAGAATAGGCACTCTGCCCTGAGCAGGTGATGCCTTACAAGACTGAACTTCCCTCTGTGTGCCTTTTTGTTGGTGTTGTGTATTGTTTTTCTTTCTTTTCCTTTTTAAGCCCAAATTTAAGAACAAAGAGAATAATAATGAAATCTCAAGTTCAGCAGAACATGAAGCTTTGAGTGATAAAGAGACACCATTTGTTTTATGTAGCTTGAGTGACATTTGAATTGAAAGCAATAAAACAAGAGAAAACAAAACAGTTTTTCTTAAAATTCCTGGATAAAAAAATATGAGAAAGTTTATCTGACAATCAATAATGTAAGGCACTTGGGTTTCAGTGGCTTGTGAAGCAAATGATAAAAGCCCTTTGCTGGCAAGTCTTTTAGACCTTGACCACAAGAACCCATTTATAAAAATAATGATGAGCAAAATTCTTCGAGTTGTGATAATAGTTGAAAAAACGAATCTTTTAAAGTTAAGATAACTTGAAATGTAAAAAAAAAAAATACTTCAGAAAAATATTTGTTCTATATTTCTCATTTTATCTGGTGTTTCCTATCCTCAAAAACTTATATTTATTTGATCCTTTATCAAATATTTTTTTCCTCCCAAGTGGCCCTGAGATTAAAGAATTCCATCCATCATGCATGTGCTGAGATTAACAGAAGAGATGCTCAAACCTTAAAGACTTCTAACTCCTCCAGAATGAGCTCACCCCTGGCGGAGCCGTTAGCAGGAAGAACCACCACCTTCTGCACAGTGCCTCGATCTAAACCAAAGGAAAAAACACACAAACAATGAGATGCAGGAAAGAAAGACATTTAAACATAAGACCACTGACTTAGCACTTAGAATACTATTTATGTAATTATTTAGTCATCAAAAAGAGACTGTATATATTGAGCTATAGTCCAAATCTCATATGTGTAAATGGAGATTCTATATAATTCAAAATGAACCAATATAACATCTTATATTCTGTACATATTTGGTATAGTCATAGTTATGAGAGAAGAAGAGAATGTCCAAATGTCTGATAAAGTCAAAAGTTCTGTTTCTGAACCCAGTGGTGTGTATTCTTCAAGTAGTAATACATAATTTTAAGTTTGGCCCTTAAGAATATTACTTAAATCTCCAAACTAACTTTATAAAAAGTAAGACTCCGTGTTTTGTTAACCTTGACACATAATGATTTGATTATCTGAGAAAAAAGATTATTACAAGTGAATTTTTATGATAATCATATTATAAGCACTAGTACTAGAAATTTACATATGATCTAAAGTTGGGAGAGATTTCAGACACAGTAAAATCTTTTACTCACAATTCGAAATAATTTTCAGAGCAGATACATAACTGTGGTTTCAGATCAGATGTGGACACCTATTCATAGAATAATTCTACTGTTTTCACACATACACATACTCGGGAAATGTTTTTCAGATACTCTTAAAATTCAGGGGAAAATATGAAATTAGATGGTCCAAATAAACTTAAGCAAATAAAAAATTTACTCATAGTTCCAATGAGATTGCCAAAAACAGAGATGCCCAATAAATGTAATACATGCAGGAAATGTTATTTATGCCAATATTTTTAGTTAAGATAGTTTCATATGTCACATATAATTTTCTACTTTTAAGCATATAATTTTGCCCCTCTACTAATCACACAAATTTGAGGTTTAAAGGAAGCTAGTTGAGATTCGGCAGTGTTGGGTTAAAACAAATTTGCAAATTATTTGATAAAGTAAAAATATATTTCCTCACCAAAACATGTTTCTATTATAATAATTAATGAACTCTATCATAAATATCAAGTCATTACTTTTAAGTATGAGCATGTAACTGTGGGTATATGATTTGGAAAGATGTATTATCACATTATCATCAACAGATACTGGAACATTTTTAAATTCTGTTGAGAAAGGTCAGTAAGAGTTCATTTGAGAGGAGCCTCGGTGGCTCAGCTGGTTAAGTAACGGACTCTTGATTTACGCTCAGGTCATGATCTCAGGGTCCTGAGATGAAGCCCCATTCAGGTTCCACGCTGGGCATGGAAACTGCTTGAGATTCTCTCTCTTTCTCTCTCTCTTAAAAAAAAAAAGTTCATTTGAACTGAGTTTTACCAGGCTAAATTTACAACTAGGAATCATTTTGTGATGAATACCATAATTTCCAAATTCCACATCTCAAACTGGCCTGTTTTCCACAAGCAAGAGTATCTCTGACATAAAAGATCCCATTTCAGGGCACCTGGGTGGCTCCGGCAGTTAAGCATGGGACTCTTGATTTCAGCTCAGGTCATGATCTCAGGGTCCTGAGACTGAGCCCCACGTTAGACTCTGTGCTGGGCATGGAGACTGCTTGGGATTCTCTATCTTCCTCTCCCTCTGCCCCTATCTCCTGCCCCTCTCAGGAAAAAAAAAAAACCAAACTATTTCACATTTACATTTTCTTTTTTTTTCTTTTTTAATTTTTAAATTTTTAAAACTTTTTTATTTTTCATTTACATTTTGTATCTTATGAGCCTAATTGAAAGATTCAAAATATTACTTTTTTTTAAAGTAACTTCTACACCCAACATGGGGCTGAACTCATGACCCCAAGATCAAGAGTCAGATGCTCTACTGAATGAGCCAGCCAGGTGTCCCTCAAAATAATTCTTAATAAAAAAATAAACTCTACTTTAAAATGCTACCAACTAAAAAATTAAAACTTACTAAATAATAATAAGAATGCACAGAAGAACAAGACTTAAGGATTTTGCCAGAACAATCCCTGAACCCTGTGAGGATACAAATTATGTGCACCTGATCTTAGAAGTTTCAAACTATATTCTGTAATTTAAAATTCATTTCTTATGCCATATTCTAAGATAAATAACAATCTCAAAGCTTTGAAAGCTCTAGGTATAATTAAAACTCTTTGAAATTTCTCTGTTTTACTATCAGCTTCCTTAGAATCAGCCCTGGTAACAATTCCTACTATTTTTCCTGGAAGATAAGTAATACATGTATAAATCTGAAGGGAAAAACAATATTTGGGGATGCTGTGCAGAGACATGTCACAATTAAACTGGATGAATGTGGTTGCAGGTGTTCCTCAATTTCTATTAACAATTCATCACCAAGAACCTTGGAAACTTCTGAGGGAATAAAATATACCAAAATCCCTAAAATGAAAGCTTTGAAATTGTAACACCTAGGGCAGGGTTTGTGTAGAATTGTGTGTGTGTGTGTGTGTGTGTGTGTGTAAAGAATGAGGGCATAAAACCATCTGGGTTTTAGGTCATGTTATAAGAAACATTATACTTTTTTTTTTTTTTGAAGAGGTCACAACAGAGTTTTATGGTTCCCTGCTGCAGTTTGTAAGGATCACTGTCATTCTCTCTGACAGCAATGACCTCTTTCTTGAGCAGAGACTGAGCAGAGACTGGGTATAACCACAGTCCCAAATAAAATTGCAAGAAAGGGAATCTTGACTACAGGGATTCCCAAAGATAAAACTATCAGCTCTGAAAAAAATTAAGTATTCTCAAATGAGACAACTGGCTCCTGTTTTTAACCTAATGTCTTAACTATGTGAGCAATATTTTACACAAATCATCATTTCTTTTGAAAGAAGCCACAAGAAACATACTTTCCTCATGCCATTTATAAAATATTACCCCAAAAGTGGCTATAAAAATGGGCTAATAAAAAGATAATGTAATACTTGCTTTTGACTCATTTGAAATAAAAGCAAGAACACCACTTTTATTTACTGCTTGTCTTCCTGTTTGAGTTATTTTTTTGTTTTGCTGGTAATGATGAGTAGATTCCCTTTTATTTTAAGACCTTTAAAGGTAAAAATACATTTTTATACCAAGTAAAACTGAATGTCAACTTATCTGAAACTCTCGCAAAAATATAAGTAACTTTAAGAATTGATAACATTTCTACTTGAAAATCAAGTTCAAATAAAATCATAGAAATGCAAGATCACCAGAGAGAAACACATAATTATTGAATGCCTACTATGTGCCTGGTTCTATGGTAAAAATGTATTATTTAATTCTGATTTCAAGAAAATAAATATCCATTTAATTCCTTTACTCTTCCATGTTTAGGCATGGATTAGTACTTTATGAGCTAATATTTCTGCAGAGTTCCTCATTATACTGGTTCAATCTTCATCAGTGCATCACAAATAAATATATTGGTTCTTTTTAGAATTCCATATATTAAAGTTTTTAATGCATAAATTAGAATAGTCATTCAAAAGTGTGGATTCAAATATGAATACAATAGCTTTAAATCTTTGTGGCATTGTTAATCATCACTTTTAACAATAGTTAATTTAGGCTTTATGAGACCTTGAATATATGTAATTGGGAAGCCTTCTTTAGGGAAAATAATTCGTAAATACAAAAACAGAGTTGTTTGTGTCTTCCCCAAACAATTGCAAATGAGGAACTCTCAATTTTATGCTAAGTCCACCTCTAATAATTAGCCTAGTTTTCTGGAAAAAAAAAAAAAAAAAGGAAAATTGTCCATAAAACTGGACAATACATCCTTTACATTGAAGAATCTCTATCTAATGAAATTTCATATATATCACTACAATTTTATTGTCCAAGATCATCTTTCACAAGTCAGCAAAAGATTGAAAAATTTCTTCTTCAGTTAAATTTATCTGTGTCTCTTTTATTGATTGGCCTTTCTTCTATAGCTACCAAGAATACACTCAATCTCTTTTTTACACCCCTCCACATTTATCTTTATAATCTCTTCCTCTGGTCTAAACATCAACACTCTCTTCAAGTACACTTATTAAAATTCAAAACCAGGGTGCCTGGATGGCTCAGTCAATTGAGCATCTGCGTTTGGCTCAGGTCATGACCCCAGGGTCTTGGGATAGAGCCCTGCATTGTATCCCTGCTCAGCAGGGAGTCTGCTTCTTCCTCTCCTTCTGCCCCTCTCCCCTGTTCGTGCGTACTCTCTCTCTCTCAAATAAATAAAAAAACAAAAAATTAAAAAATTAGTAAAAGTCAAAACCACACCTTTTTGCTTGCCTTTCTCTGGACACTGCCGTTTGGCATTATCCTATTTAAAATGTGAACAGAATTATAGATGTTTATGCTGTTATTTTACCAAATGCCAGACCTCACTGAAACTGGACTATTTAAAAGACACAGCAACAGTTCTAGTAGTTGACCTCACACGTGTCAGAATGGCGAAAATCAAAAACACAAGAAACAAATGTTGGCAAACACGTGGAAAAAAAAAAAAAACCCTCGTGCAGTTGGCAGGAGTGCAAACTGGTGCAGCCACTCTGGAAAATAGTATGGAGTTTTCCCAAAAAGTTAAAAATAAAACTACCCTATGATCCAGCAATCGCACTACTGGGCATTTACCCAAAAAATACAAAAACACTAATTCAAAGAGATACATGCACCCCTATGCTTATTGCAGCATTATTCACAATAGGCAAATTATGGAAGCACCCCAAGTGTCCATCCACTGATGAATGGATAAAGATGAGGTGGTGTATATATACAATGGAGTATTATTCAGCCATAAAAGGGAATGGAATCTTGCCATGTGCAACAACATAGATGGAGCTAGAGAGTATAATACTAAGCAAAATAAGTCAGAGAAAGACAAATACCATATGATCCCACTCCTGCGTGGAATTTAAGAAACAAAACAAATGAGCATGGGGGAAAAAAAAGAGAGAGAGAGACAAACCAAAAAAACAGACTCTTAACTATAGAAAACAAACTGAT